CTTCGAGTGGTCAACTGTGAAATTCACACCTGTGGTATTTCCTGCATCCACGCAGCTGATTCGGATCCTTATTGAAAAGCTTTTGCCAAATCAGGGACTCCAGCCCCGCCCATCCACTTCAGTAATAAAGCCAGGCTTGAGGCCTTAGTTCCGTACCACGAAAGACAGTCGGAGATAGAAGGCATGATGGAGTGCGGGGAGGATGGGTGGGTTGTGTGAATTTCACAGTTGGCCAGTCGAAGAAACATGGTTACAGGTAAGCAACCTTACTTTCTTCAGCTTGGTCACTGTGAAATCCACACTTGTGGTAGACTAGCGAGCAGTCCCATGGATGGTGGACGTCATGCTAGTGCAGAAAAAAGAATTGCTCTCCCAAAAGCCGCATGTTTTTTGGCGGCTAAGTCCAGTTTGTAATGGGAGAAAAATGTGTGTGGTGTCGACCAAATGACCACCCGATAAGTATCATCCAGTGGCATATCGTGCAAAAATGCTCTACAGGCTGCCACTGCTCGAGTGGAATGAGCATGGATCTGAACAGGTAAGTCCAGTCCTGCCATCTGATATGCTAGCCGGATAGCTGCGACTATCCAGGCTGCCAATCTCTGGGTAGAAACCGGAGGCCTACAGAGTCCTTACAGCACTTGACAAAAAGTCTTAGTGACTTCCGTAATGGAACTGTATGGTGGACATAGAAAGCAAGGGCTCTCCGCACATCAAGAAGGTGTAAAGATTGCTCCAGAGGAGTAGAGGGGTTTGGAAATAAGGTTGGAAGGACAATGTCCTGAGACATATGGAATTGTGATGCTGCCTTAGGTAAGAAGGAAATGTCTGTGCAGAGCACGACCTTATCCTTACGAAATTTCAGGTAAAGATTATCGACTCAAAGAGCCGCAAGCTCGCTAGCACGATGAGCAGAAGTAATAGCCACTAAAAATGCTGTTTTCCATGATAGATGTTCTAGATGAATGGCACTGATGGTTATGGTTTTGGCTATATACCAGTCCCAGATTCTGATAATGAGGGCAAGCAAAGTGTGAAAGTGCATCCCGCCCTATTTGTTGATATAGAATATCACAATTGTGTTGTTGGTAAGCTGGAAAATACTGTCCATGAGCAAATGACAGAAAAGGTGCAGTGCTGTTTCTACTGCGAGTAACTTGATGTGCTCTGTGCCCTCTATGGCCACCCAAGGACCATGGGTGGTGTGACCCTTGAGGTGAGCTCACCATCCTGAGAGGGAAGTGTCTGTTGCTAACATTGAGGATCTTGGAGGATCTAAAAATATGCCCACACACAGACTGAAGCGATGAGTCCACTAGTTAAGAGACCTGTGGATGGCTAAAGGGACAACAAGACATTCATTGGGCTCATCCTGCAAGGGATGGAATGCCCAAAGAAACCAATTCTGGAGGGGCGGAAGGTTCAAACAGGAGAAAGGAGTGGCAGCTGTGGTGAATGCCATGTGTCCCAAAAGGCACTGGACAGCCCTGGCATGGATGTATGGCTTCTGCCACAATCAAAGAGCTAATGCATGCAGATTCCGAAACCTGTCTTCTAGCAAGTAGGCCCTTGCATGCCAGGAGTCCAATACAGCCCCAATGAATTGGGTTGTTTGGATAGGCTGAAGAAGAGATTGTTCCTTGTTGATAATAAGACCAAGCTTCTGCTATAAAGACAGAGTAAACTGAATGTTCCTCTGTAGATACTCACAGGACTGTGCCACCAACAACCAGCCATCAATATGGGAGTAAACTACTACCCCATGCACCCAAAGATGAGCAGGCACCACAGCCATCCCCTTAGTAACACTGGTGGAGCTGTGGAGATACCAAAATGAAGAACTTGAAATGAAAAGGCCTGACTGTTAGTAAAAAAGTGACAAAAATCTACCGTCTTGTGGTCTAATCACCACATGAAAATAGGCATCCTTCAAATCAATGCTACTGAACCATGCATCGCTGGATAACAGAGGGAGGATGGTTGGTAATGACAACATCTGAAATTTGCAATATGCAATATATGCATAAAGTCCTCTAAGGTCCAAAACTGGCCAAAGCCCACTGCCTTTCTTGGAAACCAAAAAGTATTTGGGAAAAAGGAAGAAAGAAGGAAACATAGAAGGATGTAAAGAAGCTACTGCTCCTTTCTGAAGCAAAGTAAGTACCTCCTGCCATAACACAGGAGAAGGAGGAGTGGCCAATACAGTCCCTATTGGGGGCAGTTCGAGGAATTTAATAGCATAAACATGCTCTGTAATCTCCAACACCCATGAGTCAGAAGTGATCTGACAAATGACATAGTCAAGCTCCAAAAATAGGAGCGAAAGGGTTGGAGGCTATTAAAGAAGAGAAAAAGGTATGCTAAAAACGCTGTTGGCCCTGATCTTGTTCTTTCCCTTGAGTTTGTTGTCACCCCTGGTAGAAAAATTAAGTCTCTCGGGTACAGAGGTCCTAGAGTTCTGGCCCTGCTGAGGCCTGAGGGAAGCAGGTCATGAAGCTGATGATAATTAAGCTGAGGGGCTGGCCACCAAAATCTAGGCTAGAAAAAGATTGTGGTGAAAAGCCAAACTTAGAAGCCGTCTGTCAAATCTTGTGCATACTTTTGAACTGAGGGTCTCTATCAGGATGGAACAGACTATGTTTCCTCCTGCATGGTGGTGGATGGCTGTTGCAGCAGCAAACATCTTGTGTGCTGTATCGGTGCCGTGCTTAGCTATATCTTTCTGATGAGAAGCTAAGGTGGGAGCTTCCTGAGAGAAAGCCCTTGGGACCTGTTGATGTTGTAGAGGAAGAAGATCCAAGTAAGGTGCTAAGTTATACCACAAGAGAACCTGATAGGCTGCCATACAAGCATAGTAATGAATCATGCAAGTGAGTAGGCTAGCAGTGGTGTGGATCTTCTTACCATAGTGGACTGACTTCAGGTATCTTAGCTTTCTTGAATTAAACAACTTTGACCACATTTGTTCAGTTTAGTAGGCTTAGCTTGGGAGAAAATCTTATTAACCCCCTGAAAACCAAAAGAAGGGACTCCAAATCCTTGAGAAGGAAAGGAGGGTGCAGATGGTGCCTATTCAAAATAGTACCAAACTACCTGATGAGACATGGGCCAAGTGGCAGATGGGCCCCAAAAGACACAGCACTTACATTCTGAGCTGTCACTAAAGCTCCCGGGCGGCAAGATGCAAAGGGAGGATGGTAGCCCGAAGGCCCCTGCTAGGATTTATGCTCCATGGGCTGAGCCCCAAAGCCTTGGCTAGCCATCACTCGCACAGGTGGCGTGGCTGCCTTGAGCCTCCCCTCTCCTGAGGGGGCAAAAGCATGGCAGGGATCGCTGCAGCATCCACTGCCTGCTGGGGTAAATGGGGCAGGGAAAATATGGGCAGTGTGAGCAAGCTGTCCTCCAAAGATAGAAACATCTGAGAGGCTGGGCTGCAAAGGGGTGGTAGGTTGTTTAAAAGTCTTCTTCCCTTCCACTTTCTGAGTGAGGGGAACAGAAGAAAAAGAAGGTAAGTTACTGCCCATTGCCAAGGGCAAAGAAGCCTGTGCCTCATAGGACGCGGCATCTTTTTTATTATTATTTGGAGGGAGGAAGGGAGTTTGTCCTCCCACTGCCAAGAAACACAAAGGGGATGGGAGTCACCCTGGAGCAACTTCCCCCCATAGGCCATACATTTCAAAGTTGAAGAAAATGCTATACTGGTCTGAGTAGGATAAACAAAGGTCCCAGAACACAAGTTGGAATTGCAGTCTGTTGGAGTAGTCAAACTGGAGTCCTTGAGTAAAACCAATAGTTGTTTTAGGAGAGTAGAGAACACAGAGTTGTTGTTGCTGCTTTCGCGGACGGAAGGAACTAAGGCCTCAAACCCTGCTGCCTGGCTTTATTACTGAAGTGGATGGGCGGGGCTGGAGTCCCTGATTTGGCAAAAGCTTTTCAATAAGGATCCAAATCAGGTGTGTGGACGCAGGAAATACTACAGGTGTGAATTTCAGTGACCATGCTGTAGAATAATTGTACCAAATCACAGCCTTTCAATAAAGGACACCAGGAACTCGAATAAGGACATGGAAAATGCACTCTGCTATACTATGGATCTCCCTTCTAACCCCCCGAGGAGCGGCTGAGGGAGGTGGGTATGTTTACCATGGAGAAAAGCAGGCCCCTTCTACATTTCCAAATAAAATCCAGATTATCTACTTTGAACTGGATTATATGGCAGTGTAGACTCATATCATCCCAATCAAAACACACAATTTAGATTGTCTGTTTGATCATCTGAATTATATGGCGGTGTGGAAGGAATCTGGGTTTGTTCCCCAATCAGAAGGGTCTCCTCTCCACACTATGGGAGGCATCTGTTGCCAAACAAAAGAACCCATCTCAAGACGATTCTTGCTATTTTGTTTTTTTGTTTGTTTGCACTAGGAAGGGCCCCTTTACACTGCTCCTATATCCCAGGATCTGATCCCAGATTATATGTTTATCCCAGGTTACCTGGCAGTGGGGACTCATATATTCCAGTTTAAAGCAGATAATCTGGGATCAGAACCTTGGGTAAAGGGCAGTGTGGATGGGGCCATAGAAGAGATGTGCAGTGTGCATAGGATAGGAATTGGTTCGTGTTTTCCCCCCCTGAACTCAAGGGAATGTGGAGGGCTGAGGGCCCTTCCACACAGCCCTATATGCCAGAATATCAAGGCAGAAAATCCCACATTATCTGAGTGTGGACTCAGATAACCCAGTTCAAAGCAGATATTGTGGGATTTTCTGCCTTGATATTCTGGGATAAAGGGGCTGTGTGGGAGGGCCCTGACTGTAAGGCTTGACTGTGAGCAGAATGGAACACTTAGGAGCCCCCTCCCTTTCTCTCCAAGCACATGTGTTGCATTTGATGAGGGGAGGGGCAGTTTACAAAGACATCCGGGGTTTTTGAAGGGCTGGCGGCACCTTCCTGCCCCCTCCCTCCCTCCCTCCCTCTTCCCCCTCCCGTCGCCCCTCACCGCTGCTAGTTCCGCCAGGCGGTCCCTCATCCCCTCAGCGGAGAGGAAGAAGCCAAGGCCCCCGAGGCCCCCTTCCCGAGCGCTTCCGCTCGCCTCACAGTGCCGCGCCCAGCTCTCCCTCCAGCTCCTCAGGGGGAAAAGGATGCCAGGGCGACCCCCCCGGACTGCGCATGCGCCTTGCCTTTCCCTCCCGTTAGAACCCAAACCACTGGGACCAAGGAGGACCAGTCGGGGGGCGGGGCCTAGAATCAAGCCCCGCCCCTGCCTCCAACGAAGTGGGCGGGGCTACAACCACTCAAGCGCCTCTTTGGGTGACCATTCCCTCCTGCTGATGTATTAATAGCCTGAGCGCCTGTAGATACACAGGCAGATATAGGTAGCTAGATTGAGAGGCCACGCTGGTCTAGGTTCCAAGGAGCTTTTGTGGCACGTTCTGCAGAAACGCAGGTATTGCGAGAATACATGTGACTTTAGTGAGGTCCTGAGGCCAAACTTTCAGTGGGTTTACTGCAGAAACTGTTGACCCACCCAGGCCCCTTCTACACTGCCAGGTAATCCAAGTTCTCAAAGCACATTATCGGATTTGAACTGCGTTGTCTTTTGTCCACACTGCCATGTAATCCAATTCAAGGTAGATAATGTGGATTTTATTCGGCCTCAGGCCCCTTCCACACAGCTGAATAAAATCCCACATTATCCGCTTTGAACTGGAATATATGGCAGTGTGGACATGGATAACCCAGTTCAAAGCAGATCTTGTGGGATTTTCTGCCTTGAGATTCTGGGTTATATAGCTGTGTGGAAGGGCCCTCAGATTATCTGCTTTGAACTGTATTATTTGGCAATGTAAACTAAGGGCCCTTCCACAAAGCATATAACCCAGAATATCAAGGCCGATAATCCATAATATCAGCTTTGAACTGGGTTACCTCAGTCCATATTGCCAGATAATCCAGTTCAATGTGGATTTTATGCAGCGATGTGGAAGGGGCCTCAGGGCCCTTCCACACAGCCATATAACCCAGAATACAGAGGCAAAAAATCCCACAAGATCTGCTTTGAACTGGGGGCCCTTCCACACAGCCCTATATCCCAGAATATCCAGTCAGAAAATCCCCAAAATACCTGCTTTGAACTGGGTTATCTCTGGGCCCTTCCACACAACCCTATATCCAAGAATATCAAGGCAAAAAATCTCAATATCTGCTTTGAACTGGCATACCTGAATTCACACTCAGATAATGTGGGATTTCTTCCCATGATATTCTGGGATATAGGGCTCTGTGGAAGGGCCCTGAGTCCATACTCAGAAAATGTGGGATTTTCTGCCTTGATATTCTGGGATATAGTGCTGTGTGGAAGGGCCTTAGTTACCTGAGTCCACACTGACAGATAATTCAGTTCAATATAGATTTTATATAGCTGTGTGCAAAGGGCCAAATATATTCCAGTTCAAAGCAGAAGGTGTGGATTATTTGCTATGATGATTTGGATCATATGGCAGTGTAGTAGGGGGCCAAAGATTAATACAGATTGAGTATCTCTTATTCCAAAAGTTTGGGGCCTGAAGTGTTGCGGATGCTGAAACACGTCCATTGTGGAGATGGGATCCAAGTGTAAACACCACATTAATGTATACTTCCTTATTATATACATATCCGGAAGAAATTGTACATACAATGTTTTAAATAATGTGCATGAAATGACAGTTTATATATATTGAACCATCAGAAAGCAAGTGTGTCACGATCTCAGCCCTCCCATATGGATGATTTTGGAGTATTTCCAAATTCCAGATAATAAGCCATGCTTAACCTCTACTGTCAATTGACAATGAGGTTGAACCCAAAACTCCATGCTTTCAAGCTGATCTGACCTGCAGCAGGGAGTTCCTAAGTTCTCTATTACCCCGCTTGGGCCAACTTCCATGAAACGTGGCCACAGCAGCAGCTACAACCAAGAAACTTTCATTTTGCTTCACTTTCTTCCCCTCTCCTAACAATGCAACAAATCCCCCAATAAAATACCAATTAATTGTAACTTTTTCTCTTCCTGGTGTTACTTTGTGTCTTTTACTGCCTCCAAACTTTCATCTGCATGGACCTTTCCTCTCCCGGGCTGCAGATGGTTGCCGGCCCACCCGGGATGCGATTTTTGCTTCCCGGGGAGGCAGAAACTGCGTTCCTCTGAACTGCGGATACAGAAACCCATTGGGTCCCCATATCCACGGGTCAATGGATCATTTCAAAATCGGTGCCATTCTTCTCCTGGGTAAATTCTAAGGCTAATAGCTAGCTTGCTTTTGCTCCGCTAACCCCTCCGTCCCGGGAATAATCGTTTTTGCCTCCAAAAACTCAACATGGAGCCCAGCTGGCTCCCCGATGACACCACATTGTTGCCACCATTTTGTCAATGCCCAGAGAGTCTGTCGATCTGGGGAACCAGTCACAGTCAACCCTTGGGATCCCCAAGATGTCGGCGGACCGTCTTGGTCCTTGATGAGAGGGGATCTGTAGTTTTCTCCCTCTTCCAATGTGGATCTTGACCTCCAGCACTGGCAGTCGTTTCCATAGGGACTCAATGGACTCCAGGGCACTTTCCCAACTTGCTCCCATGGATTTTACAACCTTTATCAACTTTTGAAGACTTTTGAAAAAAAATGGAGCTTTCTCCCCTTCCAATCCCCATGGACTCCCCTTTTACAATTATGGGGTTTTATGATTTCATAACTCTAGATTTCCTATGAACTCTGGTGGGTGGGATGGGTCATTATGAATTTCTCTCTCCCCTTTCCCCCATGTGTACCTTATGAACCCCCATATATATGTCTGTGTATGAAATATGGAAAGCCACCTTTTCATGACCCCAGCATAACAAACTCTTGGGAAATTCCTTCCTATTTCCTGAGATGAATTCCCCACTGACTTAAGGACTCCAACAAAGACTTATTGCATAATAATAACAATGGTGCCTCTTGGGTCTCGGAGCATGACCGCCTAGGAAAGCACCCCCATGGTGACTCTATCACTCATCAACAATGGTACATCCTGCCTTCAGGAAAGATCAGGATGCCCCATCCGCCTCACCCATTGTCTTTGCACCCTTGGCTGAAACCAACACACAGATAGCATCAATTGATCCCATATCCAGGACAAAAGATTATCAAGGCTTGGCAGCCGCGCCAACCATTTTTGTATATTTCACCCCCACGGGACAATACCAGGCCAGCTTGAGGAATATCCGGATTATCGCCGGCCATCGGACAAACCATTAAGTTACATTTAATCCACTATTTTTTTTCCTCTCGGTTCTTTGTTTCCTGCTTGTACTGCCTCCTCAATTCCCATTGGCTCAGAAGCCAAAGCAGCGCTGGCTTCCCTATTGGCCGAGGCACGCCTGAGCCGGCCGCGCCTCCCTCCAGCTGATGTCTCCAACCAATCGGCGTGAAGCCAGCAAGGGGCACGGGAAGTTTGAATTTGACAGTTCTGTATTTCCTATAAATTGTACAGATCCTGGGATATTGGGCCTGTCTGGACTCTAAGGCCTCTTCCACACAGCCCTATTTCCCAGAATATCAAGGCAGAAAATCTCACATTATCTGAGTGTGGACTCAGATAACCCAGATCAAATCAGATATTGTGGGATTTTCTGCCTTGATATTCTGAGATATAGAGCTGTGTGGAAGGGCCCTAAGGCACCTAGATCCCTTTTGGATACACTCAAGGCAAGGAAATAGTGGTAAGGTAGCAAAAATGCTAACATTTCACAATGAAAAAGGCAGAACTCAATACTAATTCCACTTGATTTTTCTCCCCAAAAGAGAAGTGTGCACTTCCATGTAGCAGCAGGTATACTGACTAGGGATTTTAATTGCAACTCAGGATTGATAGGATGTTAGTCATGAATCACCTTACTAACCAGAATGAGTTCAGATCAGCAGGGCCAGATGAACTGCATCCCAGGGCACTGAAGGAGCTTTCAATTTTACAGTTTAATTGCTGAGGGCAAATACTAATTGTAGAATTGATGCCCACATGTGTTGACGACCACCAATTTATGTGGCTCTGAAAGGGACATTGGATAGCTTTCTTGGAGAATAATGCTCTCAACGAATGTGTATTAGTCAAGATGGCTGGCTATATGCTGCCTCCAAACAAAAGTACTTTAAGCCACGCAGCTTCTAGCTTTGTTGGTCAGAAGGCATCCTGCAGCTATTTTATCTTCCTTTTTTTCATAGACTTTTGTTGTTGTAAATAAAAAGATGGAAAAAACCAGTGGAAAGCACAGGAAAATTACAAATAGAAATGTTGTTACTCCTCCCTGGTCCCCAAACCTCAGAGAATACAATACAAATCTTGTACAGAAGCAAAATATACCACTTACTAGAGAACAGCAGGAGAAAACCAAACAATTGCTCTCATAGCCTGCAGAATGGAGAACGTTTGAAATGGGCTTCTTTTTCTTTGCTAAAGTTTTTACTTCATATGAACTGTTTAAGTTGCATTTTCAATTGAAGACTTTACACTGAATTAAACCGAATGAATAGTCGTCACTGAAAAATGTGAAAAAGCTACTTCTTGCACCACAACACTCACATTCTTGAGAGATTCTGGAAATGGTTGTCCTAAAAAGTAATTTTTCCAAAGTGTAGTATGTTTTACAAATTGAAGCTATGCAGTCAAAAGGCAACTTTGCTTATATCAGTGGAGCTTATGCTGAGGTAAGGACTGTAGTCATGCTGATCCTACAAAATCCATTCCTCTGCTAGCACTGGTGCCCTTGTGTTCTCTGTCTATGTAAATGCATACAGTGGGAAGACCAATCGCTAGGACCTGCTGTAAGTGTGCTTCCCCCGCTACACACACAAACACACTCCCTTGCCAGGAATAATGCCTAGAAACAACTGACCATCACATACCAATTACACATTTGTCTCATCAGAAGACTAAACTCACAAATCCTTTGTGAACTAAAAGTATTGTGATTTTTGTGTGTGTCAGGAACAACTTGAGAAACAGCGAGTCATGTCTGGTGTGAGAAAAATGGCTGTCTGCAAGGATGTTGCCCAGTGAACGCTTGGATGTTTTTCCATCCTGTGGGAGGCTTTTCTCATGTCCCCACATGGGAAGCTGGAGCTGACAGGAGCTCACCCCACTCCCTAGATTCGAATCGCCTACCTTTTGGT